AGTGAACTGACCAATAGTGAAGTGGTTGAAGCGGATCAAGTATAGCGCGTGCTTTATTGCCAGCATGCTAATGACTCTCTATGACTCTTTCTAAGGCAATGTGTATCTGGAAGAAGGCAGACTTGCAAGGAACGAGATCGTTTGCTTACTGAGCCGCCAGCGTCCGCAATGGCGTCCTTTCTTTGCGTTAGATGATTTCACTTATGGATGTTGCGTACCGTTACCTATTTAGCCATGCGAATGAACTTCTTTATACCTTTCTCTGAGTCCTAAGAGCCTCGTTCATACTCAATTCATACAATTTTTGAACACATTTCTAGATGTTCTCCTTGCTACGGAGTACAGCTACATCTTCTTGTAGCTGCATAATCTCCAACGAATTGCTTCGACCAGTAGTTGGCGAATTCGCGCAACAAAGAGGTATAGTGTGGAAAATATATAGTGCAAATGTTGAATAGCAGTACGAATGCCTTATTTCAGGCAGGAAGCGCGCATTGAAACAAACGATTACTCGTCAGCAGAAACTCGAGCGGCGTTTGAAAAGGGAAGAAAGAGAAGCAGCAAGGAAGCAGTACACATTTATGGAAAGGATAAATATTCGAAGGATGAAGAACTTGTGAGTTTTGTCGGTTTGAATTGATTAACTATTGATTTTTTCATCGATATTTGGTGATCAAGTTTATGTCTTTACCGAGTCTTCCACATATTTTGTTCAGAACTTTATACCGAGCTTGAAACTTGCTTTACAGACTATCACCATCACAGCAGTTTCCCGGTCGGCTAAATCGCGATGATGAAGCTGCCTTACCAGACAAACCATTGACTAATATATTCATTAGGTAACCCAAAAGATATTAACTCCATAGTCTGAAAAATACGCATTTTAGGAGTAAGGTCAAAACTCAGTTTTATTCTGTTGCTGAAGCTCTTGCTAGGCATCGGGAGCTGCAACAACCTGCTATATATAATCACCCTAATGCGCCACTGAGGCTGCGACTGGAGCTGAATATGCAGACAGAAAGGCAGGTAAGTAGTTCCTTTGACTAGAAAACTTTAGCTTTTATCCCTCTTATCTCACCATATTTTCTCACCTCTTTATCTCTGTCTTATGTTTGCTGTGTTCAGACCAAGATGGTAACGAACTCAGATGAAATCGTCCCCGTGCCTTATCCTTTTAAACATAATGAAAAACGTACCATATTGGCGTTTGTCAACGATCCAAAGCTTCAAGAAGTCGCCGTTGAGTCCGGTGCTGAAATAGCTCTTGGTCAGGACGTGGTTAAAAAGGTAAATTTTTTCTTTGAATATGATATGCCCTTTTCATTTATTTGTGGTTCAGATCATCAAAGGCCAATTTCGAACTGATGATTATGATTTTTGCGTTGCCCATACCGACATGGCTTCTTACATTCTACCTCTGAGAGGGATTCTGAGGACTAAGTTTCCTACTAGATCCAATGGTCTGCAGCTTCGTTATCATTTGGAGTTTCTTATCTCTTCATCATCATAAATCAGAATTTCCTTGCAGGTGGTCTTGGCGAAGACTTACCCGATCTTGTGCATAAGTTCAAGAGCGGTGTCAAGCTTTCCATCAAGGGCGATCCTGTTTATCCCATCTGGGGTTTATGTGATGCTGTAGTTGGCAGGGTACGTGTAGTTC